TGGGTAACTAAATGTGAAGAATATAAGTTCGTGATATATTCAAGAGATATTTGGGGAATAAGTTTTTATTTAGTTGTTATCTTTTAACTTCTATTTAAAACTGGATGAATGAAATAATAGGCACGACTGAATAGCCTTTCAACCGTATCCCATATTTTGGGTAACTAAATGTGAAAAATATAAGTTCGTGATATATTCAAGAGATATTTGGGGAATAAGTTTTTATTTAGTTGTTATCTTTTAACTTCTATTTAAAACTGGATGAATGAAATAATGGGCACGACTGAATAGCCCTTCAACCGTGAATGTAGGTCTAATGGACCGAACCATGTAAAGGTGTGTTTTCTTCTTCTTTCTCTTCTTCATTTATTCTCAATTAAAATTTCTTCTACAATTGGGATACACATGGAGTTAGGGTATATAGGGTAGAACTACTAGGGTTTGCAACTGCTTGTTGCGCACTTTATCTAACCTCAATTGAGAAAAAGGTACTCCTTGATTGTTTATAGGAGATGGGCCTCCTCGAGATAGTAGAAGGTCATTGGAGAAATGTTATTATTTGCACCTAGAAGAGCCTCATATTGTCCTTCAAGAAATGTTATTAATTGCACTAGAAGAGCCTCATAGTGCCCTTGGTGTCTTTAGAAGGTGTTCAACCAAATCACTGAGATTTCTGGACCTCTACAAGTGACATCCAAAAACACATGGAGAGAATTGAAAGCAGTAGTAGATTCACTCGCTAAGGAGGGGGCTTTCCTTGCAACTTCTGCAGTTAATCACCTTGAAACATGAGTGTGTTTTGGTTTTTTGGTATTTTGCTCAGCCCACTATTACTTCCACTGCATTTTTCTCAGCTCACAGTCAAATTTTTCGAACTTTATGATGCATCCCAAGCCATCAATTTGACATCTAATAACTAGAAGTGCTCGTGACGTCCTTGTAACAATAATAAATAACCACAATATACGACTCCTTATAACATTAATATATAAAATCAACTATTTTCAAAGAATATTGTGATAATTTCTCATTCCTTTCATCCTTATTTATCTTTGGACCTGTGTACTATAGTTAACAAAATGCCTAGATGATAACTTTGAGAAAGAAAGGAGGCATGGGAGAACAAATGGTCCCCTATAAGGGAATTTCCAAGTGATCACCATAGCACAAATTAAATAACCAATAAGGTTAACAAAATTACAACAACACTACTATGCACCAATGTTATGGGACTTGATTGAGTTACTCAACTTCGCTGTATGGGTGAGGCGAGGTAGGTCCAAGTCCTGTGTATATACACTACTTAGCCTTTTTTTGGGTTTTTCACACGTTTCATCTTTCTCTGTGTATATACATTACGTAGCCTTTTTTTGGGGTTTTCACATGTTTCATCTTTCTCTCTCTAAAAAGGGACAGATCCCCCATTTTCTCCTCTCTCCTAATAACCAATAGACGATAAGATAAGAGAGAGTAAACTTAAGTAGGTTGGGCATGTGGTGCAAATATAGTATATCACATATTAGGATGTACACGTTAGATCAAGTGGAAGGCTCAGAAAGGGGAAGGGGAGGTCCCAGAAGGATATGGTTGAAAATAGTGAGAAAAAAAATTGGGACTCATGGCCTCACTAAGGGTATGACCCTTAATAAAGAAGAATGGTAGACCCGAATTAGTGTAGCCAACCCTAATTTGTTGGGAAAAGTCTTTGACGAAGATTATGCTTCTCGTAGCCTTTTTTTTTAAAAAAAAATTGTACGCTATAAGTTTATCTTAGTACAAATAAGTCACAAAAACCTATAGCCATTAGATTAGAAGTCTTACATCTTGAAGTATCATATGAAAACCTTTCTTTTAGACTTTGAACCAAATTAATGAGACATCCGCAGTCATTGAATTTCACATCCAACAGTCAAGATTGATTGTGACCTCCTTGTAACTAAGCATGCTAACAATCTAACTTGGGCTGGACCAATCCTGGAATGAGCTTGGCTTGGGTCCTTATGAGGTTGGCTGAAGCCTAGTGGCAGTGGTGACTTGGTCTCAGCCAGGTGTAATATAATACAAACTTAAAAGAAAGATAAGGGAAAACCCATGACCGGCCCTGGCTAGACCCAATAGCTTGTGTCATTGAGTGGCGGCCCCTCTCAGGTTTGGTTTTCATACCATATTTTGTAGCACAAACTCTAGTCATACCATATTTTGTAGCACAAACTCTGTGGTTTTTATAAGGTTAAGGCTCTAAAGTTTAGAGTCTAAACAATGAAAATAAGCCGTACCTTGAAATAGTGCCGAAAGATATTATTTCAGTACTAGAAATCTTTTTGATGGCCTAAATTTATTTTCATCTATAATTACAAAATTTAAAACTTAAAAATAATGTAGATCGAGCATAACTATGAACACTTGATAATCTTCAAAATTGACATTTCAGAAAATTTATTAGAAGATGCATTATTTTCAAGATTTAAAATTTATTTTTTCTCATGTTCATACATCTTGAGGTCGAGTTGATCAATATAAGGATCTTTGAGCATCAAAACAATCTCTTCTAGTGAATTTTTAAAAGGAAAATTGTTTCATGTGGGCTGGACCGTAATCCTACATATGCGGTCCAGAGAGTGTAAAGCATCCATGTTAAAGATGGATGCGAGTTGGTGTTCCATCTAAAAACAATGAAAACTGACTGTCCACATATTTTCTTACTAGAATTATTATTTTTAATTTTTAAAATTTATTTATATTCATGATCTCCATATTAGATATTACATGTTCTTAAAACTTAAGTCTTAAAATTCATCAAAAAAATAGATGTATTAAGAGGTCCACATTTCTACATATGCGGGCTTGGCCGCATCGAAAATGGGTCCTTTTAAAAATGAGCCTCTATTTGAATATTTAGGGCTTCACTCTTAGATAGACTTTTGAGAAATGTTTATATAAGGTTGCAAAATTAAAATGTAGAATTAAAGGTGTACCTCAAAAATCCATGGAAAAAAGATTGTTTTAATGTTGAAAAACCCTCTAATTGATCATGTTAACATCTAGATAAATAAAATACTTTGAGTCCTAGAAATAGTGCATCTTGCAATACATTATCTAGACGGGCCATTTTCAAAATTTGCATATGTTTATAGATGTACTTGATTTTAACAAATTTGTAAGGTTTTATAATTAGATATGTAAATAGATTTTCAAATAATCCTAAGAAATTTTTAGGGAAATTGTTACAAATATATCTTAATTTTTGTCTATTTTTTTAAAAAAACTTCAACTTTCATAAACCTCGCTCATATCTTTTTTGTTCAATTTTGAGTGTTTTTTTTATGCTCAATTTTGGGCCTTTTTTTTTTTACCAAAATAACCATTACCATATTTTTTGACCAAAATAACCATTACCGTGAAGCACAATTATGGTACTTTAAGTACAGTAAAAAAGTACCGTAAAAACTAATCATTTTCTCGTTTTGTTTATACTTATCTCTTATTATTTTTATGTTTATCTCTTCTTTCTCTCTAGTTCATTTTAATATTTATCTCTTCTTTCTTTCTGATTTTTTGTCTTCTTTCTCTCTCTAACTCTTTCTCTCTCTCTACTTACTTCATCAACTCAACAAACGCAATTCATCGATACAAATCTAACTTCGTCTAATTTTCATAAGAGAAGGGATTGAAGAGAGTTTTTATAGAAGATGCTACTTCCTTTGATGTAATTTCCTTTAAGTATATTTTTTTAATAAAGTAATCAACATTTGTTAAAAAAAAAAAAAAAACTTACACGTTGTTAAACAAATCTCAGTGGAGATATACGCCATCTAATTTTAATAAGAGATGCGGTTGAAGGGAGTTTTTATGGGGAAGGGTAAGGTACTTATTCGTTGTTAGACAAATCTCTTTGAAGAGAGAGAGAGTTAGAGAGAGAAGATGTAGAGACAGAAAGAAGAGATAAAAAAAAAATTAGAGAGAAAAAGAAGAGATAAATATTAAAAAAAAAAAGGTATGGTTTGTATAGAGCCTAGGCTCTAAACAATCAAATTAGAGCCTACTTTCAAATAGTGCCAAGGAATTTAGTTTCAATACTGAAAATATTTGTGATAGCTTTAAAATATATTAGTAACTTTAATTATAAAGTTTAAAGCTTAAAAAATAATGTAGATCGACATATCTATGAAAACTTGAAAAATTTGAAAATTAGCGGTACAAAAATGCGTTACAAAATACACTATTTTCAAAACTTGAAATCTATTTTTTCTCATGTTCTTGCATCTTGATGTCAAGATGATCACGGTATTTGGGCATCAAAACAATCTCATCTAGTAAAATTTTGGAGGTAGGCTCTAATTTATCCGATAGTATAATAACTTTTTAGAAATTTAGATGCCTTTTTCCTACATTATAGCAACTTTTTGTTTAGGGGTATTTTAAGCAATTAATCAAGAATAAATTAGAAATTCTTAATAGAAGAAAAAACATTTATTAATAATAGTGGACAATGATATCAATAATATGATGTGTGACATCACTCGCATTAATTGTTTTTAACTATTAATAGAATGCCACTATTTTATTAACAAAATATCCATTCTATTTTTTTAAATGACCAAAAATACTCCAACTTGAAAAATTTTGTATTATAATTCAAAAATATTTTAATATAAAAAATTGTTGAGCACTTTAAAAGTTGACACCATCAAGCTGTGTAGACTAACAAAACCCTAAAAAAAAAAGTCGATACCATCACTGGTGTAGACTAACAAAACTCAAAAAAATATTAAAAAAAAAATAAAAAATAAAAAATTTAGAGATGAAAAAGATAAATATAGATATTTATGAATTAATTTTTACGGACCTTAAAGTATTATAAAAAAAAGAAAAAAAAAAAAGAAGAGTACGTTAAACAAAAAATAAGATATATTTGTAATAATTTTCCCAATTGTTAAGTTAAATGTCATGATAAAATTTGAAACTTTTTCCTCTGAAATAAGATTCGAAGTACGCATAGTTCTGTACGTTCCCTTGCTTTTGTCTCTCTTGTTTTGACAGAATTGGAAGCAACGGAGTGGTAGAGTCGGAATTGAGGGAGAGAGGGGGAGAGGTGAGAGAGAGGGATCGGAGGCAGAATCGAGAGAGAGAGAGAGAGAGAGGTGGAGGGCAAGGACTAAGAGCCCTCCATCTCAGTTTAAGTTCATTACTCGCCCCGTTCTCGAAAGAGCTGCACCCCCAATCCTTCCTCTTCTCTCTTCCTCCTTCCTCTGAAGGGAGAGAGAGAGAGAGAGAGGCCAGTGCATGCGTTTCTCTGTTACCCTTTCTCTCTCTAGACGCCTACTGAACTGATTAACCTCTCTCTAACCCTTTTTTTTTTTTCTCTGCATTTCTCTATCGACGACCATTGGATCCAATTTTTCATCCTGCAATTTCTTGTAGCCCTCGACAACAATGCTTGTCGAGGTGCTCGATCATTGATGCGAAGATCAAACCCTAGGCTTGCAACTGTTTCATGCATCAGTGTCTTGCCATTAATGGATTCTCCAAAGCTCCAAACCCTTCGTCCTAATCAATCCCAATTGCCTCCTCGTCTCCATCTCCTATCACGACTTTCTTCGACGAATTTGAAGCAGGCGAATCAAACCAGAGGAAACCCATTGCTATTCATCGCCGTCTCTGCCACTTTTGCCCTATTCTTCTACCTGATCGCTCTGGCAAAGGGTTTCAATTTCAATCTGGGGTTTCATCAAGCGAAGAGATTTGGGATTGTTATTGATGGTGGGAGCACCGGAACTCGAATTCACGTGTTCGAATTCTCGAGCAAAGGTGGGGTTCCATTCTTCAATTTCGAAGGACAGGGTTTGTCTTCTATGAAAATTAATCCTGGATTATCAGCATTTGAGAAGGACCCAGAAGGTGCAGGGGATTCTTTAATGGATCTTTTGGAGTTTGCAAAAACTAGGGTTCCAAATGATCAATGGGGCGATACAGAGATCAGGCTCATGGCCACAGCTGGTCTGAGAATATTGAGCCCTAATTCACAACAACTCATATTGGAATCGTGCAGAAATGTTCTTAGAATGTCGGGTTTTCGTTTTCAGGATGAATGGGCTTCAGTTATAACAGGTGTGCTTAACTTGGGTTTATTTGTTTTTACATTATTTTTTGAAAAATGGTTGACTTAAACTTTGACAATTCAGGCTTGGTTTTGAATACAATTGAAAGTGCAATGGTGTTTAGGATCAGATTTTGTTGCTATTACTAAGTAAAATAGGTAAAATTTATACTTCGGACAACTGTGACAGAGTCATGTGTAAAAGTTGAAAACTTTGTCATTTAAGGAAGAAGGAGAACCCAAATTCAGCTAACTTGGGTTTGTTTGTTTCTACATTATTTATGAAATGTTAAAATTTTCGCAATTCACTCTTGGTTTTGGGTACAATAGAATATGAAATTGTGGTTTACGCATCAAATTTTGTTGCTTAATGAAAGTAAATGAAGTTGTAGATACCAGACAACTATGGTAGAATCATGTGTAAAAGTTGAAATTTTTTGTCATTTATAGCAGAAGGTCAACCTAAGTTCAGCTATGTTGAAAAAGTAGGTCTACTGTTTTACTGATTTGGGCCTGCATTGTGGCTATTATCATTGCCATTTATACTCCAATTCATTTTCAGCCATTGTCTACACTAAATTTCGGTTTAAGTCCAATGAAAATATATACAGTCTTCTTCTTAAAGTAACCATTTTACTTGGGATTTGTTTGTACAACTTTATGCATTAAGATCATGTTAGCTTTTGTCATGCTCAGCAGTTTCTTGGGCATAAAAAGATCCTTTGCTGCTCAAGATTAATATTATGGATGTTATCATAAAAAAAAAGGAAATAGATTAATATCCTTGTCTGGTCCAGCAGTCTGCAACTTGGAAGCTTGGAGTTTTTTGGTAACTACCTTTTCCTCTGAATACAAGGTGTGTAGATTTGAGATACAGTGAGGATAAGTTTAGTAGTGTATGAAATGGTGACACTTTGCAACTTTTTTTTTTGGGAACTGTAAACTGCTGTATAGATAGAACCGATGTACAAGAGGTTGAACTACCCACAGTCTGGGTGTTCGTATACGAAAACCCCTTACAGGGTCCAAAAAATGCTATACAAGTTGAGAGATTGGAAGTAGGATAACAAAAAGGTGAGGTCAAGAGCTTAAAAAGGTGCTCAAAAGTCTCCTGTTTGTTCTGCTCTGAGGCGCTCTCCTTAGCGAGGGTGTAGGCTGCGGCATTTGCTTCCCTCCAGGTATGGTGCAATCCGCATGAGTATCCCTGCAAAGGTGGAAAACTTCATAAAAAATGCGCTCCAATCTCCATGGACTGGGGGAAGATTTAGATGCCCAGTTGCCCACACTATGATGTTTTCGGAATCCCCTCAAGAATCAGAGTTGCATCCCAGGATGGGTTGAAACTGTGAAGTCCCATGAGAAGGGCTAAGGCTTCCGCCACACTGGAGTTGGTTAGGCCAATGAAGTGGGAGAAGGAGAGTAGGGTGGCGCCACTAGAATCTCAGAAGAACCCCCCCTATTCCAGCAGGGCCTGGGTTCCAAGGAAGCAACAGTCGAAGTTAAGCTTGACTTGGCCCTGCTCTGGTGGTCTCCAGATAGAGGAGCGAGAGATGCCTGCTGATCTGAGAGTCAGCAATTCTTCCAATTGAGGTGGAAGTCAGAGACAGGGCAGGGCTGGAAAAGTTTGTTATTCTTGGCCCAAAAGATGACTAGGGATTTCACTTCATTGTGAAGGGCCACTAAGCTGGTCTTCTCTCCTCCAAAAATCGTGTTGTTGCATTCCAGAGAGTGGCAGCAACAGAGGCTCGCAAAAGATAGATGCCATTACTAGACCATGGTGGGGAGGGGAAAGCCTGGATTAGTTGGGGGATAGAATTCAGGGTCACCCATGACCAACCCAAGAGCTAAAGTAAGTGCCCCCACAGAGAGCTAGCTAGATTGCAGTGAATGAAACGTTGGGCGTTGGTCTCCTCCTCCTCCATACACATACACATGGTGTTCCTGTTGGGTAACTGTAGGCCCCTTCTTTGGAGTTTGTCTACAGTCAAGGCTCTTTCTGAGAATATGACCGAGCTGAACATTGGATTTCTGGGGGAACGAGCGGCGAGGAGTAGTTGGGAGAGAGGGCATTTGGAGAGCCCTATAGAAAGACGAGACAGAGAACGTGCCAGAGGAGGCTGGAGACCAGACAATCTTGTCAATCCCTGGTGTGGGAGGAAGGTTGACTGGAGGAGGGAGGATAGAGCCAGAAATTTGGGGATCTTTAGGTCCAACAGGGGTCTTCTGAATATAGGATGACATACTATGCTGTGGCCAAAGTTTGACAGCAGTCGGCTATTGTGGCCTGGGGGTACCGGTCAACGAGGAAAAGATGGGGGAATATGTCCTTAAGGGGAAACTGGCCTAGCCACAGGTGGGACCAGAAAAGGACCCTGTGGACAGAGAGCGAGGGTGGAAGCCGATGTTGCTGGTGAAATGGGGGAGAATGCAAAGTAACGACCTCCAAGCCTCTGAAAGGTGGGGGCGTATAATTAAATTTGAGAGATTTCATATTGTTGGTGGGAGTCACATGGAAAGTTTTCCCAAAAGAAATTAATACACAAAGAAATAGTAGAAAGGGAAGAATTGGGGTTGCTATCTCTCTCTTCCCACCTTGTCATCACTCAACCTTAAATTTTTTTTTTGAAGATAGTTGGAAATAACTCTTTAGCGCTGAGGATTTATTGATAAGATCCAATTATAAGAATGTGATTGCATATTCCTTTATTGTTAAGCACATAATTGCTGTTTGATCAAGGAACAAATGTGCATACATTGTCATATGTACATTTTACGCAGTTAATGAAATTGAGATACCAATAAAAAAAAAGAAAAGGTAAAAAAAAAAAGTGGACTACATAATGGCATCCCTTCACTTAGGTATCCTTGTGAAATCCCCAAAGTGAGCATGCTACACTTGGTGGCCCTTGGGGGAGTGATCTAAATAAATTTCTTTATTTCTTTTGGTTAAAACCGAATGTTATTTATCTTGCAGTTCGGCTACTTTATATCATCTAATGAAAATCAAAGGTATTTACTGCAATTATTTTTTTATAGTTTTTTATCCTCTAATTATTTGGAGCTATTAGGTGGTCAGTATATAGCAAACTCTAACTTAAATTGTGGACTTCATAATCAATTCCTGAAGCTATAAAATAAGGTTCTTGGTTCTGTTCCTGAAGCTATCAAATAAGGTTCTTGGGTAAATCGTTTGTTTGCTTATGACAAGACAATATCAAAAGCAGTGTTTCAAAACAAGCACTTGGGCCTGGACTCACCAAGGTCTGGTGCCCTAGTCACCTGGTTTGACTCGGATGAGTTGGAACAAAACTCATCTGTGTCTGTAGAGAAGCTGACAAAAAAATGTCATATATAAGAGACTCAGTAAGAGCCCCTTTTTAAAAATTGGAACTCGCCAAAGTCCTGAGCCGAGCTGACTCAGGCAAGTCCTGAATCGGTTCAGCCATACACTGATTTAAAGTTTGGCCACTTATGTGGAAAATCCGTGTAAAAAGTGTAAACCACTCTTACTTTTCCAAAACAGTAATCACTTTTGTGTATAATCTATTTTGAGTCGTAATGGAAGTGCTACTGATGTATGAATTGTGGTATAGGTTCTGATGAAGGTCTTTATGCTTGGGTTGCTGCAAATTATGCTCTTGATACATTAGGTGGTGATCCATTGGAAACCTCTGGGATAATTGAACTTGGTGGGGCTTCTGCTCAGGTTGAGTTCTCTTTTTCATTATTTGAATTCAGTTGTCGTTTCTCTCTCATTTTTGAAGTTTTGAATGTTTGTTTTGCTATTTAACATGTGTAAATGTTTTACAATAGCAAGTTAGTAGCATATGAATAGATCAATTGGGTTGGAATAATTTGTTTACCAATGCCTTACTGCATCTAGTTGTGGACACTTTCTGATGTATAAAAGTTCTGGCAAAAATATGTTTCTTTTTAATTTTAACGAAACTGTGGTTTAGGATTTTGATGTTTATATGAGAATAGTCACCTCAATTTAGCTTGAAAGTTCACAAAATACCTTAAAATAATTTGTGGTGATTCCGCTAGTCACATAGTCTGTACTGAAAAGAAATTGTGAAGATTACAAATTACAGGAAAAGGAAGTGACCTTGTAAAAATTATAGAATGCCACTTGCTACCAACTTCTTCATGGGGTGGTTAAGTTGAGGTGATTTCATGAGTTCATGCAATCTAGAATAAATTGTCCAAAGCATCGAGAAAATGTTCAAGTTGGGTCAAGTTTCTTCTTGTTAATCATGTAAGGACTACACACATGTATCATACATACAGGCATATTTATCTATGGGCACCTTAGTGGTAGCGTGTGTTTCCCATATTAAACTTGGTCTCAAGCTCAAATCTTTGGTCTCAAGCTCAAATCTTGCTGGTCCCAAGAATAAGTCTTTTCTTTTTCCAGTGGCTTTCACCAAGTCACGTACTGACTTTGAGTTTCTAACACTGCTCAAGAGAGGAATACACTAATATGCTCTGATTCTCTATTACATGTTCTTTGCGACTACCTTTATTTTCATGCAAGAAAACTACAAAAGGAGATGAGAAGTTGGCTTTTTATGCATGTTCAATAGTTGAATAGAAATTTAAGAAACTCGACTATGAAGGTTCTCTATTCAATATTGAATATTTTTGTATTAATGGAAGCATAGATTCAATGTTTTAAACCATGGACCCGATTTCGTACCTGGCTGAGTGCCATATAAAGACTTGGCTGATACTTAATAGACTCAGCCAAGATAATAGAATATACAAAAGGGAAAATTGTGGACTCGACATATTAAAATATATATTTACCAGCAATTCTTCTGGGGTTATGTGATATCAATTCTATAAACTCCGTTCAGTATTACTTCATGCATGGCCCTTGGAAGTGATGAAAAGCGAGGCTAATCTACTTCCTTTTATATTGATGTTTCTATTTCAGGTGACATTTGTTCCAAGAGAGCCACCACCCCATGAATTTTCTCGAACAATTAGATATCGAGGAGTCACTTACAATTTGTACAGCCATAGCTTGCTTCATTTTGGTCAGGTGGCTTTCTTGTTGATACTTTCTCCTCTAAATTATGTTGATGGTTCCTGCTTTACTGTACACCATTATATATAGGGCAAACTTTCTATGCTCCCCCTACAGCATAGAAGTTCTATCCTCCCCCTACCATCCAGCCGTCCAATTTTGATCAAGAGAGCCACTCACCTTTTGATCTTAGATCCGACGTCTCAAAGTATTTTATTTTTAGTTTTTTTTATACAAATTGTATGAATATGAAATTGGTACGTGCCATCTTCTCATTGGGCGCACCTATAAAAAATATTAAAAATAATTTTTCGATAAATATAATGACCAAACTTGAAACTTTCAGGGGTATTTTGGTTATTTTATTTTATTGATAATATTTTTTTTTATATTTTTCGCTAGTGCGAGTTTAATAGAGGAATGGACGTCCAAAATTTGGTGCCAAAACAATTTATAGAAAAAAATTAAAAATAAAATAGTGTAGAGATGTGACATTGTGATTGAGACATTCTTAGCCCTCCATTAAGAATAGACGGTTGGATAAGGGGGAGGATAGAACTTCTACACTGCTGGGGAAGCATAGAAGCCTTTCCTTTATATATATATATATATATAGGGAAAAGATGGGATTAGCCCACTAGCTCATATGAACATATGAGCCCAACGGCTCAGATTGAATCTGGGCCGATCTGACAATTACGGATGTCTGGTAGTGTTTGAATTTTATTTATTTTTCTACAGATTCAAATCACTTGAAATTTTAGGCGAGTGTTCATAAAAAATAGGTGAATCTTCGAAAAATATCAAAAAAATATTTTACATGAAAGAAATTGACCAAAATACCCCCGAAAAGTTTCGGGTGATATTTTGGTCATTGA